AACAACGAAATAAAAAATCAAACTTAGAAAGTATAAACTTAGTAACTTACACATACCACATACCATTCATCACGCCAAAACACCATCAAGTCATCGACCCATCAAGATTCAATCATTTGTAGTAGAGGTAGTGGCAAGTGGTGACTTTGAAAATAGAAGATAAAAAAATTAAACTTTTAATATTAATATAAAGGAAAGAAATAGCAAATGAAAAGGTAAGAGTTATAGAAATTATCATCTTGCATTTTCTCGACATCTTACAAATTTTCTTCAATAATAATTGGTGTCGATGAATTTTTAATCCAATATTGAGCACATATAAGAGATTCCACTAAGCTAGGAGTCAAAGAACTCCTAAAGTAGTCAAGAACCCTTCCTCCAAGTGCTAAATGTCGATTCCGAGAAAATAGTAGAAACATGAACCGCCAATATATCCCTAGCCATTTGTGAAAAGATGGGAAACCGAGGAGAATTGGTTTTCCACCATTCTAAAATCTTAAAATCAGCACCGTTATTTTCAGCACATTCACTAAGATATTTATCCAACTCCGTTTTATTTCCTCCACCTCCAATATCACATTTGTATTTTTCAAAATGCATCATTATCTCTCTTTTTATTCTAATTTCTTCTTCATCAATCATTTCTTCATTTGCACAACCCACATCTATTTCCCGACTCCCACTACCTTGGCCAATTTCACCTTGAGATGTTGACGAACGATAATAGAAATCATACATAGCATGCATAGATTCCTTAACAATATTTGACATTCTTTGACCCTTCAAATCACCATACAATTCATCGATTGAAAATTCAATAAATACAAGTTTATGCCTAGGATCAAGTATTGTCGCAATATAAATCAACTTATTCATTTTCTTAATATTCCCCCAATACTTCTCGGACTTTTCTTTCATTTGATTGGCCAACGTAAAATCATCTAAATTCCCACTTCGTTGTCATTTTTTCTAAACATGTTCGAGAGCATAAATCTCTTCAAAATAAATATTTGAAGTCACATACAAAGAACTCGAAATATGCAAAGTGAGATTGTAAAAAAATTTCAACATGCCCACCAACTTCTTACAAGACTTCCAATCATCAACATTAGGTGGCCCAACAATATTATCACCATGATCTATATCAAATTCACTCCTATATAAAGGATCAATTTGCTCGTGTCTCTTAAAAGCTCTCAAACTTTAGAGTTGACTTTAACATCAAGTATGTTGAATTCCACCTAGTAGCAACATCTAGTTGTAACAAACTCATAGAATCAATTTTCTCAAGTTAAATGCATTCCTTAAATCTTTTCAACCTAGCTGGAGATTGCCTCACAAACCTAACGGTCGATCGAATACGAACGATTGAAGGATTAAAATGTTTTAACCCATCAACAACAACTAGATTCAAAGTATGTGCCATATACCTCATATGAATGAATTCACCATCTAAGATGTTATAACCCCAATTCTTAATCACATCTTTTAAGTGCCTAATTGTCACATCATCGAACTCGCATTATCAACCGTAACACTAAAAACCTTCTCAATTCTCCAATCAATCAAGCATTTCTCAATGGCAATACCTAAATCTACTCCCTTATGACTATCAATCGGACAAAAATTCAAGATCTTTTTATGCAACTTCCAATCATTATCAATAAAACGAGTTGTTAAACACATGTAATTGATTCTTTGAATAGATATCCATGTGTCCGTAGTAAGGCTAATTCTTTAACTATTTTGTTTCAAAAATTGCTTCAACTTTATTTTCTCATCTAGATAAATTTGATAGCAATATCTTGAAATTGTAAAACGAGATGAAATCTTGAATCTAGGTTGCAAATTAGACTAAAAATTTTTGAATCCCCTACCTCTATATGCTTAAATGGAAGCTCATCTAGAATGATCATTTCAGCTAAATCTTTTCTACTAACATTTTGATCAAACTTCCATGTGGTAAGATTGCTTTCTCCCGCTTCAAGTTTTCTTAAGTCTAATTGAGTTTGGGTAAAGTCAATACAACTAAAAGGGTTTTTTTTGCAAGTCAAAACATGAGACCTAAGTGAAGTTGTCCCATTTTTTGAAGGATTACAAGCAAATACCTTATCGCAATAGTTACATTTAGCCTTCATGTTTTTCTTGTCATCTTCAAACTTTGTGAAATGATCCCACACCATCGATTGATTTCCTCTTCTTTCCTTTGCCACCGTCTTGAGTGTTACTTGGAGTTGCACTTGATTGTGGATTAGGATTGCTTGAATCCACGGTTTCATAATTCATCTCTATGGATTGAGGTTGCGACATCTACATAAAAACATAGGAAAAAAGTATTAAGCTTCACGTTTCACACTCCTTAGTCTTTAAGCTTAAGCCAAAAATAAAAAATAAAAAATCTAGCTAGGCGGGAGGCACCAAGGCGGTAGGCTCATCGCCAACGACCGATAGGCCAACCGGCCGCTCGCGATGAGCCTACGGGCCGCCGACAGTAGGCCTACTTCCAAGCATCCGGTTGGCTCGCTGGTAGGCGGTGTATGGCCACACACAAAGACGCTTTGTGCCTAGAAATTGATTTTTGCATGCATCCGATACGAGTATAGATTATTTTGCTAATTTCAAAATTAGGTTAGGCGAGGCTTTGTAACTTGTAAGTGTTTTGGCCTTACCATGATGCAAGTTCATAGTATGTTAAGAGAAAACAGAGAAACGAGAGAAACAAAGCTCGCAATTAAAAGAAAACAGAGAAACAAAGTTGCTATTAACAATCAACAAATCTAACCAAATTAACCAATGATCTCCCCATCCTTGTCACACAATCACATATTCCGATATTCACATGTAATACGATAATAGTACTGCGGCCGTGGTCGCCAAGTCCGAGAGTGAGAGAGACCGAAAGAGAACGCCCGAATGCGGCTAGGCATCGAGCGAAGACCGCGAAGAAGAACGACTAGCGAGGGCGGCGAGGCAACGACTAGTGAGGCAAGGCGTCAGAGGTAACGAGGGCGGCGAGGCGGCGTCGCGGCGAGGTAGCGAGGCTAGCGGCAAGTCAACGAACGGTAGCGATGCCGAGCGAGCGAGCCGACAGACCGGGGACTTAGGGTTAGGGATTTGGTATTTGACTATTTTGATGGAAATGTCTAAATGAGAAGAGAAACGAGAGAGTGACTGAGTGAGAGTCCGAGAGAGTGAGAGTGAAATCGAAATAGGAATTTAGGTTTTTCGATTTGAACCGAAATTTAGGCATAAATTTTGGTTTTCGGTTTTGAACCGAATTTTTTTAAAAAACCGAACCAAACCGAAATAAATTTCGGTTTTCTGGTTCGGTTATAAATAATAAATTTTAAATTCAAAACCGAACCAAATACCTTAATACGGTTTGGTTTGATTCGATTTTCGATTAACCGAACCGTTTGCACGAACCTCTACTTTTAATAGCTATTTGGTTTCCATAAGTCCGTGTTTTGCATCACACGATACTCCAAAAAACACATCATGTATAGATGCATACATATGTGAATGCATGTTATTAAAACATGAATAAAAAGCGAATCAAAACTTGTTTCTATACATGACGAAATATGCTTATATAACATAATTATCTATCTATTTTTTTAAAAAATATTTCGAATTCAAATCTTTTTTTTTTTTTAAAGTTTTCATTCATTTTTTTTTTAAATACTAATGTCATGTGAGTTACAATTCGTTAAAAATTATAGATAAAAGAATTATCGATTATTCTTTTTTTTTTTTTTCGAGTTGCAACACCATTTGCCAAAAAGTACATACAAAATTCATTTGCACAATAAAAAGAAAATTAAAACAAGAAAATTTTATAATACATAAGGAGTAACAAGTGACATGTATAGTAGTTACTCCTTGGGTTCACTTTGAGGAGAGAGTTAGACATATAAAAAGAGAGAGAAATTACATCCATACCCATCAAAAGTGATAAGAAGATTTTCACGTCCGTTCAATTTTTTTTATTTTTTATCTTTTTGTGTGTTTATCTCTCTTCTCAAAGTGAGTCCAAAGAATAATTACTCGTACATGTCATTAGTTACTCCTTGTATATCATATAATTTCTTATTAAATCGACCGATGAGTTTGAAAAAGAAAGAACAAAAAAGAAGAAACACAAATCCCTAAAATTCGGACTCTTAACCCCTTTTCAACCACCTCAACGTAGTTTCCCAATCAACCCCTTAATTTTTCTATTTCTCCCCGTAAAAGCAACAAACAAGGTTAATCGGTGGTTAAAGATTAGGGGATTAAATCTTTAGTTTTCTTTAAGCTAAAACAAAACACAACTTAAGATACCAAGCTAATATATTGCATGAAAGCCATTGCAAAGTCTTGAGAAATGTGAACCAATTATAAAAACAAGAAACATTACACTTTCATAGGATGTCAAAAATAATTATAAAATGCTTTTTTTTTAAAAAAATCTAAATATATTAAAAATAAGACTAATTTTATTCAAAATAAGAATTATAAAACTTAATTTTTTTAATAAATATGATTTTAAAAATTTAAATTTATTAAAAAAGTTTATCTAAAAATCAATCAGTGTACCTAACGCTGTCATAAAATGATATTTTTAAAATAAACGTAGTCATAAGATCACAGGGGTGGTCAGAATTTGGTCCGCGCCATTCAACGTTTAACCAGACTGGCGACGCGTCCAATTACTATTCGCCAATATATTAGACCGAACCAATCAACGCAGTAAGTTATCGTAATCCAAGGAGGCACCACCACGTCTGATCTCCTCTCCACTACCGCCACCTTTCACTCTCCAAGGCCACACACAAGCAAAAGAAAACCATAGGAGAAACACTCAAAGACAGTGCTCCACTACTAGTACTAACGAATTACTCTCTGTTAGAATTTCTTCCTTTCATTTTTCTTTTCTTCTTCCTTCACAAAATTAAGCCCTGGAAAGTTTCAATCTCCAAATTAAACCGCTGAAATTAGTAGCATAATCGCAATCTAAAATGGCGATTGTAACCGCTGCGGCATCATCATCACTGTCGATGCCTCCTCGCGCTCTATTTAGAGAATCCAAAAAGGCGACGACGATGGGGAAAAGGAGTTTGAAACGGCAAGAAGTTCGCGTAGTAGGAAATTTCAGTCACTTTGGAGATACAGTGCGCAAAGATTTCGAGTTTATCAAAAAAGGAATCAATAAAGGAATGGATTGGGCAAATGAAGCATTTCGAGTTCCGCAAGTTTCCAAAACCCTAGACGATATTTTATGGCTTCGAAATCTCGAGGATCATAATTCTCCTCCAATCGAACCTCAATCTTGGCCGCAACCGTCATATCCAGGTCAATTTGCAGTTTAATTTTTTAAGTTGCTCTTGTATGACTTTTTTGGTTGTCATTTGGTGTGAAATGCATGTGTTATGGGGTAATAGGGCTTTCTGGTGTGGATTTGCTGGTGGCTGATCTCAAAGCAATGGAAGCATATGCTAGTTATTTTTATTGCTTGTCTAAGCTTTGGTCTAAGCCATTACCTGAAGCCTATGATGCACAAGATGTTGCGGATTATTTCAATTGTAGGCCGCATCTTGTCGCTTTTCGACTACTTGAGGTACGATGCTTCACTTTAATGTGGTAAGGGCCATATAGTGGTATGGAGAAGCGGTTATTCAGGTTATGAAAGAGTAGTGCTAGGGATGCTATCAATTTTACCAACACTTGTTTACTAATTCTTGTAGTTGGTGAAGTGGCTTTACTAAAAATGTTAGTCTCTAGTGGTATTTATATGTTCTTATTGGATTTTTATTATGTTGCTGGAAGGTGTTTACTGCATTTGCTACTGCAACTATAAGAATTCGAGCCTCGGGGATGAGAAAGTTTTTAAGATCAAGTTCTGACAAGGATGTAAATGGGAACATTTCACAGTACGATTTGGGGATGGTATTAAAAGAAACAATGCTAAATTTGGGTCCCACTTTTATCAAAGGTCAGGATTCTTATCTGATTCCAAATTTTAGAAGTCCCGGTCCTCTTTGCTAATTGTAACTCATATTAATTTGTTCCTTCTTCTTGTTCGTTCCTGTAATGCTCTTGAAATTATATGCTGGTCGTCATTTATTGCTTTCCTGCAGTCACAAGATTACCCATATGCTAGTTACATGCCTTTGCTTCCTGATGCAGTTGGTCAGTCTCTTTCCACAAGGCCGGACATTATTGGTACTGACATTACCAAGGTTAGATGATACAGATTTTCTACCGTAGTTTTTTCTTAAGTGCATCTTTAATCTACATAAAACGTATATTCAGTTCCAATTGGTACAAAATGTCTGTTTGTGGGCATCGAGTAATTCTTGGGAATGGAAAATTCCTCTTCTTTCCTGTATGTTTTGTCATGTTTTGCTTTTAATGGTTTCAGGTAAAACGTATGCTCATTGTATCTTTGAGACCTCTATAAATATATTTTACTGTGTCTTTATGACAATAGTATCAAGTGGATTCAAATGCTTTGGTTCAAAGATTAACACATGCTAATTTAATTGTCTAACACATACTTCTGGACTTGAGTATTTATGCTGTTTATAATGTGTGTCATGGACGAATAGTTCATACTGTGTCTGCACAAAAAAATTAAGTGGGATCAAAAGCTTAGTTTCTAGATTTCCTGATCATAATAATTTAATTGCTTGCTGCCACATGCTTTTAGGTTTGAGTTATCCCTAGACTCGATTATTTATGCTGTCCTGAGTATGTCTGTGCCAGCTGTTACCTTTCCATTTGTTGGCATTGGTGATGTTGAGTGTATCTTGGGTGAAGAAGTTTCTCGTATGAATTCGTGCACCTGTATAAGGGAGACCTCCTTGTAGATTGCCTTCATCATGATTGCAATGTGAAGTTCTATTACTGGAATGTGTGTAATTAATAAGATTTTTGGGTTTTTGAGTTATGAACGCAGGCACTTTCCGGGCTGCATGATCAAATACCTCCTTTTCCCAGGACCATGGCTATGAAAATCATAGAGGAAGAATTGGGTTCTCCTGCTGGATCATTCTTCAGCTACATCTCTGAGGAACCTGTGGCTGCAGCATCATTTGGTCAGGTGGATCTTTACCTATTTATTCCGCCATATGGACAGAGATGTTGTTAATTATACAATGGATAAATATGTGTGCAGGCTTGTCATTTTCAACATTCTTATGTGTTTCTTTTTATTACTTTCTGCGCACATTTAGGTATACTGTGGAAATACCCTTGATGGTCGTAATGTTGCTCTGAAAGTTCAGCGTCCTAATATGCATCATGTGGTGGTTCGTGATATCTATATACTTCGGCTTGGGGTTTGTACTAACCTAAATTGGCCTCTCTCTCTCTCTCTCTCTCTCTCTCTCTCTCTCTGTGTATATAGTTCACAAATAATTTAGTTATGAGTGCTTTCAGCTGGCCCTGTTGCAAAAGATAGCAAAAAGAAAAAATGACCTTCGCTTATATGCTGACGAGCTTGGGAAAGGCTTAGTTGGGGAGCTGGATTATTCTATAGAAGCTGCCAATGCTGCCAAGTTTCTGGTACTCACAGGTTTTCCATTTGAGTTAAACTGCTCCCAGTTTAATTATATTGCAAAAAAGCAAAATGGTTGAGGTTCCACCAGTGCTGTTCCTTTTCCGCTGTGGAGGTGACATTTAATCAAATTTTGTAGAGAAACAAATTTATTTTGGTGGTTGTGTCCTCTTTTTATCGTTTTGGGGATGGGAGTCTATGTTTTGATGACTGACACAAGAAGGAAATTGATCCAAATTGTAAATTTAAATTGTTGATGATAGGGTGTAGTGTTACTGCACTGTCCGGACTGGTATCTTTGTATATAACATAGAATATGACCTCAACTCTTATTTCTTTTTACTTTTTTTAAGATGAGTATTAGTATAATGAGGGATATTGTTCCAATAAAATTACTCAAAATACCCTTTCGAACATCAGAGACAGGCGACCTCTCTATGGAGAGAGATGGCATAGCAGCTTCTCTCCCAGATTTAATGAGGAAAAATAGACGGTGGTTTTGATTTTGAAAGGAAACCTGTTTCTAGTTTCACTTGGTAAAATGACTTTGTCGAGTGGGACAGAAATATAAACAACATAAAGAAAGAGCTCTGTTCAAGTCAATTTTTATAGCTAGTGATATGCTGCACAAATTTAGCCTTGGAAATTATGATTTCCAGTTAATAACTAGGATAAGATTCTCGTGCTTCTTATTACTACATTTACTTTATCTGCAGGATGCTCATTCCTCATTCTCATTTATGTATGCTCCAAAAGTATTTCCACATTTGAGCCGAAAGAGAGTTCTGACCATGGATTGGGTGGTTGGTGAGAGTCCAACTGATTTACTCTCTCTATCCACCACTTCTGCGTATTCAGACAGACAGAAACTTGAAGCAAAAAGGCGTCTCCTTGATCTGGTGTGTAATTATAATGACTTTATCTTCGCCTCTTTCATGTTTCCATTATTCCGTGGTTTGTAATCTGTTAGTTTTCCCCTTTTTTCTGAGTGTTTTCAATCTTACAATCCAGGCTTATGTATGAAAATTGATAAAAACTTCTCCTTGTGATTAAACTGTTCCAGGTTAGCAAAGGAGTGGAAGCCTCACTAGTTCAACTCCTGGAAACAGGCTTATTGCATGCTGATCCACATCCAGGAAACTTGCGTTACATATCATCAGGACAAATAGGGTATGTTTTTGGCCTTCCATGTCCTGTACAAGATAAAACTCTGCTCTCTGTGCTAGCTGAACTTTATTTGATTTAAATTATATCCATAATTAAGCATGTGGCTTCAAATTCTGTCTTCCTCCTGACACATAAACATCTGATAACTTTTAAAATTTGATAAGCTAGTTTCCTGAGAACTTAGAAATCTCCTTATATTTATGGCTTTATTACCTCTCCCCCAATTTCTGTGGCAGGTTCCTGGATTTTGGTTTACTTTGCCAGATGGAAAAGAAACATCAGTTTGCTATGCTTGCGGCCATAGTTCACATTGTAAATGGGGATTGGGCATCCCTTATGCGTGCTCTTATTGACATGGATGTCGTAAGGCCAGGGACTAATATCCGGCGTGTTACAATGGTATCATATTTGCATTTGGTTATCGTTCGCAAGTGCAGATTAATTTTGTCAAGTGCTCAACTACTGGGACTCCCTTTTGATGTCACTGACTGTTTTATTAATAATACAGGAACTAGAAAATTCTATGGGAGAGGTGGAATTTAAAGATGGGATGCCTGATGTCAAGTTCAGTAGGGTAAGATTATGTGTTGAGGACATATGACTACTGTTGTCCTGTACTCCTGTGCTTTCCCACAATTAATTTTTATTCCTGTGGCAAGAGCTACATATGACAGCTACCATGGAGTAACTAATTTATAGAAAGTGGCTTTGAATTGGAAAACAATTACCCTATTTATTTTATGCATCAATGCGGACCGTATTTAGGGGCTGCATGCCTGGATTGTTCTTAAGACCAGGTCACTCTGTTAGATGATCACTATTTTGAATCTAACAATTAGTAGATTAGGATAGTCAAAATTATGTGCCCTTTAGTAGGACTGGAATCTGGACATAAATTATAGGCACTGGTCATATGATTGGGTCGAATTTACCCTATGGTTCTTCAACTAGGAACCAAAACAATAGTTCAAATACTTCTATATTATATTCTATTGTTAATTTAAATGCTGAAGGATCATAGATGAGTCTGCTACAATGCATGTCAGGTTATTCATGTCCATTCTTTTCAATATTCAGCATCAATTAAATAAAAATTCCTCCCTAACTTCTAGAGGATTGGCTTCTTTTCAATTTTCAGTATTTCTGCTTTCTTCACCTATCCTTAAATCTTCTCTATTCCATTGTCGTATAAAATTTCTTTGGATGCTTTATATAAATAAATGGCTGACTGCAACTATAACTTGAAGGTTCTGGGAAAAATATTGTCTGTAGCGATCAAGAGCCATTTCCGCATGCCACCATACTTTACTCTTATGCTGCGTTCTCTCGCATCCCTAGAAGGTAAGTTGATGGATGCCATATTTTACCGCTCTCATCTGTATATTTGTGTATTATCTGTATGTATATGCCTGCATTCCAATAAGCCTGAATTAGCTTTTGGATGACTTTGGGCAGTTCCAGCTGTAACAAACAATTTGGTCATGGCCTGGATTCGCTTTCCAGGAATTAATAATTGAGATTTTTGGAGCAGTTCATCCACTTCTTTTATAAGATTCATTTCATTTTCTCATTTCTCACTTAATTTTGAATTTGCGTTTATATATGTGCGTGTGCATGCCCATGCCTTTTTCATGTCATGTGAACTTAAAAAGAGGCATAATAAAAACTTGTCAACAAGGGGCTGGTGCTCAAGAAGAATTCAGATTTATTTGCCACATGGTAGTATTTAGATCAATGAAGAATGCTTGGTTCTCTGACAGATGTTCTGTAACACATTCCAAATTTTTAGTCTAACTCTCGCAAGAGATGGAGCCTTTCTATTAACAATAAGTTGGCTCTTCTAAAAGTTCAAAGCAAAGAGCAGCACAAAAGCCCTGCCAGGGGAATTGCCTGAGATCCCACAGAATATTCGGTTTGGTCCTGCTAACTGAACATGATCTTAACTGAAAGCCAACTGTGTTCGGACCTTCAAATAGCTAAATTTGTTTCTCTCATTTCTTATCCTGACAATAGCTACAACTGCCAATTGCTTTGATTTTACTTTCTCAGGTTTGGCGGTAGCTGCGGATCCGAACTTTAAGACATTTGAAGCTGCATACCCATATGTTGTTCGGAAACTTCTCACTGAAAATTCTGCTGAAACGAGGAAAATTTTGCATTCGGTAATTATGATTCACTGAACTACTCTTGTAGTCTCTGTCTCACCTTGATAATTATTGAATTCTTTGTTGTATGTTACAGTTCATGTGAGATATATAAAACTTGAGAGAGAAACTTTGAAATATTAGTTTATTTTTGAGATATAAAAGTGATATTCAAATGGGAAGTTGAAGGTTGTGAATTGATGGGTTTCATGACTGTTGCCCAAAAGACCAATGGCAGGGATATTCTCCTTCACTCAATGTTCTACATCTGCCAGGCACATGCTATAAAAAATAATAACTTCTCATGTATTTTTCTCTTTGAAACTTAATTATTTTTCATGCTAGTTGTCTTTAGGTCACAGAATACTTCCTTGTGACTTGATAATACACTCTTTACTGCATAGAATACTGAAACTGGGTCTGCAGAACATTTCTGATTCTATCTGAACTACTGTGTCGCGTGCTAATTTGATTTTGCTATTCAGGTGGTTTTGAACAAGCGGAAAGAATTCCGATGGGAGAGGCTTGCTCTTTTCCTAAGAGTAGGATCCACCAGGTACAACAAGAAATCCCTAATGGCGTCCTTTATGATACTAGCTATTAGTTAAGACATTCTATGTAGGACAATTAAAACGGTTATTTCATTGTTATTAATCGTCATCTCTCAAAGAGCCTATTTTTTTTCTTGTGTTCTTTCTGTCAGTTTTGCTTTTGTGGAGAACAAGAAGTATATTTGTAGCAGTGGACTTTTATGGGTATTAACATGATACAGCATATTCAATTTATTACAACTAAAAAAGACCATAAATTACTTCCCATTGTAGCAGTGGACTTTTATGGGTATTAACATGATACAGCATATTCAATTTATTACAACTAAAAAAGACCATAAATTACTTCCCATTGTAGCCCTTTCTCATTTGGCACTTATGAATGCAAATGTTCCCAATTGTCTATCCTTCTATCATCATGACATCTTCTAAGACGTGAATAAATATTTGTACTTCTGCAGGAAAGCCTTCAATCAGGTGATAGAGAATGAAAGTTCCCTGGATTATTTACCAAATCGGTCCAGTGGTGTTTTTGATGCTGCACTCTTAGTCCTGAGGCTTTTACCATCTGGAGATGGCATTGTGCTTAGGAAACTTCTTATGACTGCAGTGAGTGAATTCGAACCAGAACCTTTTCATAGGATACGTTCTTATTGTTTTCACTAGTGCTGTTTTGGGTGCTCTTCAGCGATTAGAGATTATCATATGCTGTCTGGATATTTATGCAGCTGCTCATGGATTTATTCTCTCTCATTTTATCTTTTAACAATGAAGTGGACTCATTTTGCATCTTAACAATCAGGATGGATGTTCATTAATCCGAGCAATGGTTTCCAAGGAGGCAGTTTCCTTCAGACAGCAGCTTTGCAGAGTTATTGCTGATGTACTATATCAATGGATGGCTCAAACTCTTGTACGAGGCATTTGGGCAAACCAGTATGGTTCCCAATTCAGATTGACCAGCGAGCCTGACAACAGAGAGCTGAGTCCATCTTCCAGGCTATCGGTACCGGTTAATGATTATCAGTCCATATTTAGAGATCGACGCCTCAAAGTGATCTTTTCCAGGATACTAGATTCTGCAAGGAAAGATCCAGTGTTGATGCTAAAATTCTACTGGACTTCATTTGTTATGGTTATCACAGCTTCAGTTTTGGCTTGTCATCAGGTTTTGGTCTCTTTGTCTGAGGCCTACATTGGTCCCTTCTCGCTTGCTCCCAAGAGAGTGGCAATTAGTGCATGAAATTCATATACGGCCCTAGCGATACATTCCAGAAGAAGAAGATTTAATGCGGAAATCCCCCTTGACTGTAAATTTTTGGAGTAGAGATGAGCAGAGATTGTGAGATAGAATGCTGATTGGAAAACTAGGTACTTTTGGCATAGAATGCTAATAGTAAAACCAAGTACTTTTGTCTTAAGTCGGATTTCATGGCATCGAGGTGTGAGTCCCCTTTTGGGTCTTATCCCGACTCCACTGAGTTGGGTTTCCAGTACTTGGTGCCAAATTTCTTTGTACTGTAAATAGTGGGCATCATTGAAATAGGTATCTTCAAATTCTATAACATTGAGGTCAATCTGTGATTCTTGGCAGACCAAGGAAAGGTATATACAAAATAAGAAATGTATAGTCATATTTCTTGTGCTTCAATAAAGTCAATGCCTTCGAAGTATGTACCATGCAGCATTGGTATTGTGACAAACAATGTGCGACAGGAACTTATGAGTTTTATCTGGTAAATAGAAGGTCACTTCTGAATTCCAAACTAACTATGGAAATATAACAGATTATTTTCGAGTCATTTAGGCACTCCTTTTGTAAGTATTCATGGTGCAATAAAATTTCTGATGTAGATCAGAAAAGTGCCATTTCTTTTCTAGTATCATTCTATGTAGTAGTAAATACAGGTTGTGGAAAGGGGTATGTTTTTTGTTGAAGTTGTGTAGTAGATAATGCATCAGTTAAGTGAATTGAAAACATGAATTTGTTACACAGAATCATGACTGAGCTAAAGAGATAATTTCTTAGCCTAGATTTTTGCCCGTATTGGTGATTTGCTTGGCAATTGCAATGTATTTGATCCCACGATGGTTGACTAGAAGCAATGAAAACTACATCGAACATAGAGACGGTTGCTTGCGTCTTCGTCTAGAACAAGGTGCCTTATGATGTGCATGATTATATGATAGTTGTTTGCTTCATAATTATCGTGAATTTGCCTTGTTACCCCCAATGTAATCCGTGTCCATCGTAGGTTCATGCTGAGTTCTTTACCTGAGCAGTGCCTATTATAACATTGCAAGAATGTGGTTTGATGAATTCAGAATCGAAAATTTGGATTCATGTGTACTTTTTTCATTATTTTGGTTGCACATTAGAGTAATCTAATGCATAAAACAACAGCTGTTTCACATCCCAAGTATTGAAGATAATAGCGATAGTGAACGTAATGGTTTTTAATGTATGTTTAATAATATTGTGCATGTATTTTTACAAAAGTGCGTTTGGATTGAAAAATCAAGCCTTTTTTTTTCCCCGACATTGGTATATCAAATCCGTCCAAAAATATGTGAAAAAATTGTTTTTACTATAATTTTAAAAACACTTTTAAATGTAGTATAAATGTATTACCAAACACATCCATAATGTGTTTGAAATTGTAATACACTGTGAGTTGATTATAATATTATTTTCTTTAATGCTAAGGCTTCCTTTCATTATCTAGGGAAAAAAAAAAATCCTAGTCATGCAAATCTATCAAATAAATTTCTCACCTCATCTTTTATCATGTTAATGTACAAACCTTGATTGTGTAACTAAATTTATATATATATAAAAAAAGGCATAATAACAGGAATTTAAATTAGGTGTTGAGAGAGAGGAGAGAGAGAGAGAGAGAGAGAGAGAGAGAGAGAGAGAGAGAGAGAGAGAGAGAGAGTAGATTTATTTTCGACATTATCTACTGAGAGTTAAATCTAAGCATGAAGTTGGGAGTCCAAAACGCACCAATCTAAACGTGAGTAAAAAAGTAACAAAATTAAACGGCAAGTCGTTTCGTGAACCAATATATGCCCAATTTCTGATCTAAAAACCCGGGCCAAGTTAAGTTGAAACTTCCTTCTTCTTCATCAACAAGCAAAGTCAGGAAAGGTTCCCCCAAACCATCACTAGATCACCTGTTGCACTTTCCACCAAATCTAACAGTTCCTATTTCAAAACCCTAAACTCTGCATTATGAGTTCTCCACCCATTCTCGGAGTAATCTCTCCCCCTCTCTTTGTTAAATTCTCGCTGTTTCTCATCGGATCTCGACCTTATTAACCTAATTATTTTCTAATGGCAGGGCGCGAGCTTGTTTACAGGATTCACGAAGCTATGCAAAGGTCTCGCGGTGGTTCTTGTTGCCGGTCACATTGTAGTTCAGATTTTACCTTCCGCTGTTAACTATCTCGCTCTTATTCCTGCCAAGTAAAGAACTTTTCAATTCGTGAATTCCTTGCGGTTTCGTTATTCATTTTTTATTACAATCAGTAGAAAAAGTGAAAAATTGGTGGCTTTGCATTATATATCTTAGTAATGTTTTATTGATAGGAGATGGTAAAAAGGATCCAGAAATGGTTACGTGAGGCAGAATATTAGGAGCTCAGAGTTGAGAGAGGCAGAATAACACACACTGTAACTACTTAGGATATGCAGTGCAGACTCGAGGAATTAAATTGAATCCTTCTAGATCCATGAACTCGTAGATATCTTTATTGATTTGTTGGCACTGTTTTCTTGTTCTTGCCCTGGTGGAAGAAACTTGAAAGAGAGGGGGTGCATTGTCTGGTGAACTGAATCTTTGTGTGAGAAGTATTTTTTGGTTAAACACCGCAAGTTTAGGATTTTCCAGGAATTTGGTTTTGATACTTGATTATGAATCTTTTTTTTTTTTTTTTTGTCACGTCTTGTAAATCATAAAACAATGGGTTGGATCATTGCTGCAAGTCAAAGAAACATCTGGTGATAGATTAGAAGCTTCTACTCTTCAAGATACTGATCATGGTGCACTACCATTGTTAATCACTTTGGACAACAGAGCCTTTAAATAAGCATGCCATACTCATATTTTTCCATGATCTCACTTTTTAGAATACAGGATACAGAAATTTGCATGATGCTTTTCAACTGGCTAAAAACGTTAATTGCTAGTGTAGGGGATCAGAGACAAATACGGACCTAGCATACTTGATTAAACCCACTCTATTAAGTTGTGGAAATGGATATCATTCATGCATAATGCGTTATATGTATGAGCTTCATTTCAATGATTAGGAAACTTAATTCTTACCTTTGCAGGACGATTCCTTTTGCATGGAACCTCATAACAGCTGGTTATATCGAACAATCAATATATGGGGTATGTAGTTCATCTGTTGATAGTGTTACTATTTTTATTTTTATTTTTTTGGTTTGCGTAAAGTGTCCTATGGCTTTTATTCTTCCTCCACAAAGTTGCACTTTTAATTAATTTCTTCTGTAGGTGGTTGCAAGCACTTTATGCCTCCTCATCATGGGAAAGTTTCTTGAGCCAGTATGGGGTTCTAAAGAGTTCTTAAAGTTCATTTTCATAGTCAACTTTCTTATCTCTGTCTGTGTTTTCATTACTGCTATTAGCTTGTACTACATATCAACGCAGGAGAATTACCTGTAAGTATGTGCTTACCAAATGTGGCTTTTTTTTTTTTTTTTTTTGCCTCTGCTACTCATGCTATTACCATTATACTGATTTCCTTTGTTCTTTGTGGTAGTTATATGCCCATTTCTGGCTTCCAAGGGATCCTGGCAGGTTTCTTGGTTGGTATCAAGCAAATTATACCAGACCAAGAGCTGTCTCTCTTGAGAATAAAGGCAAAGGTTAGGACTGTACATTAGTGTTGCTTAATTCACCTCTTGCCTTGAAGCATTGCTGGATGATTTGTTTTGCAAGTTGAAAAGATGTCTCATACATTCTCATTGGTGCTGTTTCAAATGCCATGCAGTGGTTCCCATCTCTTATGCTTTTGCTAGCTATTGCTATAAGCTTCTTTACTGCCGATTCAGCAACATATCTTCCAACCATAATTTTTGGAACATATATGAGCTGGATATACTTGAGATACTTTCAGAGGAAACCTGAAACAAAACTAAGGGGTGATCCAAATGATGATTTTGCATTCTCATCCTTCTTCCCCGAATTCCTTAGGTATTTTCTCCTTTTCTTTTAATACACTGGTTTTTCAGTCCATGGAATGTATGAGTTTGTTTACGTGCTTCCATCTCTCTATCTGCTTTCAGGCCAGTCATTGATCCTATTGCATCAATATTCCATCGGATGCTTTGTGGAAGATTTGAAACTTCTACTGAAGCCCATGGTTCTACTGTGGGAGGTGCTCCTTTGCCTGGTTCTGATCCCATTGAGGCATCTAGGAGGAGGTAAGTTTATTCATTCAGTTTAAAACTTTGGATTAGGATTGTGTCCTTTTCAGCTACTGGGAGATTATTAAATTATCCCACTTTAATCCAACGTCTTTAATATGATCTGCTGTGAAATGCTAGGTTTATGTGTATAGTGTCATTATAACAGCGGTAACAAAAAATGCATTGGATTTTTTTTTTTAAATGAAAAAAAATAAAAATAAAAAACTGTTACGAAGTCCTGAACACCTTCAAAGACTTATATTATTAAGAATGTAGTCATATAGTAATTAAGTTTTCATGGGAGGCAAAAAGTTAATAGTTTCTGATCAATCTTCCCCTTGCAGAGAAAGGGGAGCTAGAGCACTGGAAGAAAGATTGGCAGCTGAGAGGTTGGCCACTGCACGGAGTGCAGAAGAGTTGAAAAAGGATGCCTCGGAGAATGTTTGATTGCTTGACTCTACTTTCAAACATAAACAACAAATGCAAAGTTGTATCTTTTATGACCCCTTCATAGTTTGTGCAGTACTTGGAAAGAAGTCTTTTTGGTTGGTTCCCATATTGCAGTTTCTTCATGCATATTTCTGTCGATTATCATCCTTACAGTAGAATCGTTCAAATATCCTGTATTTTTTTGGACAATGACTTTTCTTGCCTGCGACACATAGCAGAAATTCTGAAGAACTATCCCTGGGATGGCTTAGCATAACATAGATGAAAATTTTTTCTCTGCGACAACGGAGGCTGCTTTCCCAGAAACTTGTATAATGTAAGTAACCATTAAGATATTTTGGGTGGATGGGCTT